TAACTTGTTAGAGCTGGGTTCGGCGTTGACGTCGATGTCTGTCACGCACCGTGAATCGAAGCGGTTGTTGAGATATGGATGGTCAAAGTAAGGCTCGATTGGCCGGTGAATTGATTCACCACCTTAGTGTGCCAAGATATCTCTTTTCTCAAGAAGAAACGCGTTGGTCGAAAGCAAAAGTACTCAAACTTGCCAGATCGAACTCGCGCGATATCACCACAGCGTCGGACAACACTCCGGTACATCGCGCATGCCATTGGCGTCCCTGCGAGCACGCTCAAAGGCTACTACAAACGCGGTCTTATGGTCAAGTATAATTCCCACATTAAACCAAAGCTAACGGATGCAAACAAATTGACCAGGGCAAAGTGGGCCATGGACTTCGTGCGTCCCGACAGCAACTTCCAGTTTGCCGATATGTACGACTTCGTACACGTGGATGAGAAGAGGTTTCATGCAACCAAGATATAGTCGCGAATGTACCTGCTGCCGGGTGAAGACCCTTCCCATCGCTCCGCCCAGAGCAAGCGCTTTATCAAGAAAGTGATGTTCTTATCCGCCGTGGCACGCCCAAAATGGGACGACGACAAGGCCGAGTGGTTCGACGGCAAAATCGGAACCTGGCACTTCACGCAAGTTGTCCCCGCCACCCGATCGTCAGGCAATCGTCCCGCCGGCAAGCTGGAACTCCGCCCAATCAGCGCCTGTGTACAAGAACATGCTGATTGAGCACGTCATCCCTGGTATCAAGGCCAAGTGGCCAGTGAACAGCACCCGTTGTGTCGTCATCCAGCAAGACAACGCACGACCGCATGTGCCATCATGCGACCAGACGGTATTGGAGGCTTGCACGTCCAATGGTTGGTTTATTCGCCTTCAGTGCCAACCGCCGAACTCGCCGGACATGAATGTTCTCGACCTCGGCTTTTTTCGCGCCATCCAGTCACTACAATAAAACTATCACTCGAACACGTACGAAGAAATCGTTGCCGCGACGAACCAAGCGTGGCACGACGTCGACCCATGGTCGTTGGAGCGAAACTTCCTGACGCTGCATTGCTGCTTTCGCGAGGTCATCATGTGCGCCGGAGACAACTCGTACAAGGTGCCACACATGGGGAAAGCGGCACTCAAGAGGTCAGGGCTCCTACCAGAGACCGTCGCATCTGGTTGCGAGGTGTTCGACGCAGGGTGTGCTTTGATGAGCCAGCATGCTCTTGAGAAGGTCATGCACGACCTTGCCGTCGAAACAGCCGCCGAGTTGGAGATGATCGACATCATCTCGGCGTTTCGATCAATGACGAGGACGTCGAAGTAGGAGTGTAGGTTTCAACACAAGAATCAAATGAATGTGAGTTTATGTATGGAATGCCAGTAATTAAATATATTTCTTGTTCTTATTTAATTATAGAGGTGTCATTATGGTTCAGTGCATTTTTTTATTGTATTTCTGGGGGATCTCACATGGCTGCTCTATTTCCGTCCTTCAACAATTTTGATATGGCTGGTCTATTTCCGTTTGGAGGTACTGATTATAGCTAACCAAGTTGGACTAATTCAAGCAACTTTAAAAATTGATATTTTTCTGCATCCATGCATTTCAGGATGATGCCATGTCGGCTTTTTCCGGGGTTCACTGTACCTCCGCGACATTTGGCGTGGTGATTACGGTAAGCTAACGAATGCTTAGGTGATCTTGTCAAAGGAGCACATTGCGTGTGAGGGGTGAAGGGTTAGCATGGGATCCCCATCAAGATAGTGCTACACTATTTTTATTTTTAGATAATCTGGGAAAAACGACAAATTCATCCGACACGATTCTGATTGGACACTATTCACGTATATTTACCCCTTTACGAAACATTCATGAAACAGACTCCTCAAACTCTATATTATGCCATACGGCAGTCTTTCACGAAACCAGCTCACATAGGTCGACTACTTGCACAACTCCATCCAGCTTTGGCTACCGCTGCTACAGCTCGCCCACTGGAAGTTTCGTAAATCCATACTATTCTTTGATATTGTAGATGAGCAACTGGATCAAGATCTGGGGTGCGCAGATCACACTTTCCATCGCAGCCCACAAGACAGTGCGCCACCCGAAGGCACCCGAGACCGCGGTCGTCGACACTTCAAGAGCCCAAAAGCGCCCAGGACTCAGTGAGCTCATAGACATTCCCCATATTTGATCAATTCGACTGACGAGGACGTGGTCGAGTGTGTAGGTGGCAAGGTACTTTGACTCCGCGACACTAGCGAGCGCACGACACCAACAATCGCAAAGGCGTGCTCCCCACCACCATGTACGCCATATATCATTCCTGCGCTATTCATTTGTATCGTAGGAACTCCGAAGGAAGGCGACAATTCCCTCAGGCCGCATGGCCGGCGTCAAAGCGCCCATGCTCGAGACGATGTACTCGTACTTGCATGACAATTGGAAACTCAATGTTCTCTGTGTGTAGTTGATCAAAGTGTTGCACCAAGCCACCCATGGCCACAACCAATGACCAAGGACAAGCTGCAGCATGACGAGATCCTGCGTACACAAGTCCTTACAAGCACACAACGATTCACATTTTTGGCAAAGTCGAGGTATCAATTCATAAAATCAATTCGTTATAGTGCGTTTTCTCGTTTACGCATGCGAACTTCACGAAGCAGATTAGAGTATGTGTTCGTGTATCCAGCGAACGCATGATCGAAGTGTGAATACGACTGATACTTGTTGAATGCTATCGCGATCGTTTGCCGTTCGGAATACTTTTTGCGGTCTGACTTGATCATTGATTTCATGTAGTCTATGAGGGCACATGGGCAGCCATGTTTGTGATCGACGGAGAACCACTGTTCCCACGCATCTTTCGCCGACCGAGCAGTTGGTATGATCTTTGGCACCACAAAGACCTGCATCGAGCGCTGAGCCAATGGAGGCTGTTTGGTGACAATCGCGGACCCGCGATACGGCATACTGGGAGTAGCTGGCGACGTGATGAGGACACTACTCGACCTTTCGCCCTGCATATGAGTCAACACATATTGAGCAATTTGATTTACAACTTCCTCCACGTTGGTTGGTTCCACGTCGACACTGTGCGGCCCTCGGTGGCGCGTCTGCAGTAGATGTCGGGGGTCGATGGCGTCACTGACTCTTTTCGTCACCAAATATTCGCAGCACGTTTTGGTGTCTTCCCAA